AGTATCCCTCATTCCATTCATCTTCTGAATCCAGCTTGAATTTCTGGCAGTTCCCCGTGGTATATGCTACTGCAATTGTTTTTGGATTATCCTCAGTAAAATTCACTTGAGTGTGATATTGATGATGTTTCATAATTTCCACTTTGTGTTGGATCACCTCTCCCTGATGGGATCAATCTGGATCCCTTTACAATCTGGATCCCTGTGGTTCGCCAGGTAGCTGTCTTCCAAATTGCTTGGCATAAGCAAGTCAGAATATCCAGTGTTGCACCCATTTGTTGAAATATTTCCATGAGCATCCTGTCAATTCCTGGAGCCTGTTTTTAGCCAATGCTATCAGTGCAGCTTGGGATTCTTTCTTACCATCAGTTCTTGATCAGATGCTGGAATTGTTGAACACCGATTCTTCTGGGGAGAGTGACTATGTTTTCCTTCCATCTTTCTTTGATGTTTCCTGCACCAGTTGATATTATGTCCATAGAATCCTTCGATATTTCAACTCAGGCCTTTGATTTTTTTTTTTTAGTTCTTCCAACTTGAGAAATGTTGGATGTGCTGTTCCCTTCTGATTTTCAAGGTCCAGGTCTTGCCATGTTTCATTAGGTTATTTGTCTTCTCAAGGTGACCTTTGAAATCTTCTGTTCAACTCTTGTACTTCCTTGTTTCTTTTGTGCTGGCTTCTCTAAGTAGAAGCAAGTTTCAGAGTGTCTTCTGACTTTCATTTTGATCGTTTCTTTTGTGTCTTTTAAATGACCCTTTGGTTTCTTCATGGGCTATGTCCTTGAGGACATTCTACAGCTTGTCCGGTCTTTGGTGTGCAATGCATCAAAACTCTTCTTGAGCATCTACAGTTAGGTGGGAGGTTTTGTTTTGCCTCTTGAGGATTTGTTTTCATTTTCTTCAGTTTTGACTTGAACTTGCATATGAATAGTTGATGGTCTATTCAGCTGTTGGACCCTGACCTTCTTAGTCGGTCATCATCTGGAAACTATGCTGAAACCTATCCACTATGTTGCTGGCATTTGAAATAACCAGTGACATGATGTTCAAGGGACAGCTATCTCCTGAACATGTATCCAAAGTATATGGGATGAAATCTCACTATCCTTGCTTCTAAAGGAGCATTCTGGCTTTACTTCTCCCAAGGCAGATTTGTTTGTTCTTCTGGTAGACCATGGTACTTCCAACATTTTTCACCAACACTGTAATTAAAAAACTTATGTGATCTTCCTCATTCATTGTCCAACTTCCACATGCAGATGAGGCCCTTGAAAACACTAGGCTTTGGTCAAGCACACCTTAGTCTTCAAAGCAACATCCTTGCTCGTCAACATGTTGAAGGGGTCTTGTGCAGCGGGTTTGCCCAATGCAATAGGTAGTTTAATTTCTTCACTGCTGCTTCATTGATTTTAGTTCACTTGTCGTTCCCTTGTCCTTGGGTTGGT